GATCCATGTTCTCGCTGACACGATCTGTCGAACAAGCGCCGCGGTAGATAACTAGTTGACTCGCGTGCGATCCATATCGGCTCGTGTAATCTATGATTCCTTGATGCACATCTTTGTTGTTCTCTTCCTCTCTGATGAATCTCGACTACGCAATCGTCGACACAACTGCGGAATAATTCAGCGTAGAGCGGCAGTTGTATCTCAGTGAACAATAAACAGAATAATTAAAACTCAGGGGGTGATTAATTCCTGACCACGCCCGAATGCGAGAATATTCAGCGTATCATTCGCGTGGACGATCAATAGTCGCGCTAACAATATATATACTTAAGTATATACCTATATATATTATAGAACTGAAGAAACAATGTTTTATACAATAAGCAAATCGAATTTATTTTAATTTAATAATTTTAATTGAAGTATTAAACTTAATAAGATTTAGAATAAATTTGACGCTTGCGAATGTGATGAACTTACTAGTCGCGGATATATGAATTTTTTAAATACTTAATAAATATTTTAGTAGTAATTATTATTTGCATAACTATATGTATTTTTCTTTCTATATAGGGAATTAAGGTTTATAACATCTGATCAGAATTTCAAGATATAATTAATGTTTCAATAACATTAATTTTTTTTTTACGCAAAATGTCAAATGTTTTATACATTAAAGGTCAATTATTTTGGAAATCTGACGTTGGAAATCTAACTTTCAATATCATTTCCATCATTCAAAAATCTATAAGAAACACCTTATATGATACAAAATATTTTTCTGTTATGATTCCATGTAATTAAAACGCTCAAATATGGTGATAAATAATAGCTGCAAAAAATTTTAATACTTTGACAATCAATTTGAGCGTTCTTCATATTTATTATTTGTTTCTAACAAAATTATTTTCAAATTTATATCTATGTAGCTAAAGTTTTAAATACTTCAGCAAAAAACCGTTCTTTTCATGTATTGCTTCAAGCTTAAAATAATACGTTATTTTTATATAATATATGTCTGTGTTTTCATGCAATTATTAAAAAATGTACGTCTACATTTTTATTTAAAACATTTTATTTAAAACTGCAGGTTTCAAGTACATTTGTACCTGATGCTACAACTTATGCAAGAAATGCTATTGCCACTCTGGGTAAAATGGACAACAGTACTGGTTATTGGGCCCATAGTATTCAAAAGCTCATCATTCTAATGGTACCTGTATGGATTAGAATAAAAATAGGACAAATTATGAATGAACATTTCAGACAAGACTATTTCGAGCAACAAAGACAAAAGAGATTGTAATAAGATATTTTAAATAAACAATTATTTTTGGAAGATATTATATCGTACTAACGTAGAAACTAATTTTTAGCAATTTTTAATTATTACGAGTAATATAGAAGATAATATAAATGAATATAAAAAGAAGATGCAGCAGAAGAGTAAAAGAGACAAAGAGACAAAAAGAGAGAATGTACGCGAGTGTGAATGCGAGAAAGAAAGAGAGAAAGACAGAAAGAAACTTTTTTTTATACTTAAATTTTTATTTAATAAAACTTCAAGTCTCATTTCTTCCACAACTAATATTCTCTATTCTAGATTAAGACTTCTTCTATCTTCTTTTCCCTAAATTTTATTCTTATTCTAATAATCGATTATGTAAGCGATTATGTAAGCTGAAGTTGCAACACGCATGCAATTTTGATTAATTTGAAATAAATTAGTTTGTATTTTTTTTTAATTAAAAATGATATCTCTGTGACTCGAATTTAACAATAATAAAGTAAAGGCATGTGAGAGTATAATAGAGCGTATTCAATGTATAGTTTCCTTACTAATAAGTATAAATGTATATTTTCCTTACTAATAAGTATAAATTTTGAACGTTTTGACCTTTTTTTAGGCTACGCCGCTCCGAATAAACAAAATAACATATCCTGAAATTACAGCGTAGACAGTGTCCACTTGGAATATTTCTAATCCATAAAGACAGGAATATGAGAACAGTCTTTTTAGAGCGGTTTTTCTTAACGTCTAGACTGCAACTTCCAGGTAGGTCACCAATTTAAGCGGGTAGAATATTACTTTTTTTTTGTTCGGGGCGGCATAACCGAACTAATATAAGCACTACTGTGCTGCAAATTTCCAGTTCAGTTTAGTTTAATTGGGTTTTTTATGAGTTCCTATAAAGGACTATAAGCGCGTTTTAGTGAATAAAGAAGTTTCACACTTCATACATAGATATATAATTTGCGCGACGTCTTCTGTGCTTGACTCCTACTGCTCGTATCCTTTCCAGTTCTTTAATTTAAGAGTCTTGATTAGTTTGATTTTTTATACACATTTATAATAATTATACCTGAAATTAACTACTTCAAATTGGTATTAAAAAACACATCTTAGTGGGATTCGAAAACCTGGGGCCTCTGGATTATGAATCTTCTACGTTACCCGCTACACCACTTTTTCAATTGGTAAATGTGTTATTCATTCTACTTGTTTTTTATGAGTTCCCTTCCTTTTCCGTTTTTCAGTCAGCACTTGACTATGTTTCTTAACATCGCATCGGTTTGATTGCCCCATCGCACATACAATATTAAGCTACGTCGAGATCCATCACATTTGCTGATTTCCGCGCGTTAA